GTTTTCTTCACTATCCAGCTCTCACATCTGTACATGGTAATGGGGAATACAATGGGTTGGACAATCCTTACTTTGGTGTTCAGATTTATATCTTTACACTTTACAGTCTTGTCCAGTTCTTTCATCACTGCCCTTCCCAATCCTAGTTTTCTTGTAATGTCTTGACTATAGTCTCTGTTCCAATCAATATTTGATCCAATATGTGAGAACTCTTGACTATTACAATTTTCTCATTATCTGCAATGAATTCTTGTAGATCTTCCGTGGCCATCATTTTTGTTTTCTGTATGCATGTGCACTGTAAGGTTTGTTTTAATTTAGTTATGGATCTTTGGCAGATGCATAATGCAACAGAAGGAAGAGGCATCTCACCTTACCATTTGGAGGGATGAACACCTTCTACTCAGACCAAGTGCTACCACCCTTGCTTGTATATGTGTTTTATTTTTATCTTATTGGATACAGCCAGTTTTCTATTGTCATGTTATGGTACTTATGGTATTGAGGTAGGTCTTTGACTGATTTTAATCCTATGGCAGAAAAGTATTCAAAGTGGTGTGCTCTGATTTTCTTTGTATCTTTTAATTAAAATTGTATTTTGAACTGTTTTTAATTGTTTGCTTATAATAAAACTGAAATTTAATTTTTTAGCTTTTGTAACTATATTTTTAGCTAAGCTTTTATTTTAAATGTAAGCCATCTTGGGTTACTTCGCAGGAGAAATACATGGTATTCTTTGAATAAATAAATAAATAAATAAATAAATAAATGTTCTTGCCCACCTTCTGCCATGGCAATCAAGGCGGCTTACATATAAAATTAAAATTAAATAAAACTTGCCCTATAATAAATAACAATAATCACAAATAACAGTTAACCCCCCTTTAAAATATATAAAATACAAAATACAAAAGTAAAACATAGGCTTAAAACAACAGGCATTCTGGGATACCAGTAAAAACGTGGAGAGGATATCTAACAAGGAGGTAAACCAGGTTAGGTAGAGTGATCTAATCAGGGAAGGCCAGCCAGAAGAGATCCGTCTTGACAGCTTTTTTAGAGCCATCCAAGCTGGTTATTTGATGGCTCTCTTCCAGCAAGGCATTCCACAGTCTGGGAGTGGCGGCAGAAAACGTCCTCTGGGACATTTCCTACCATATTTATTTATATTTATATGTATATATATTTATATGTATAAATATTATATATATATATATATATATATATATATATATATATATATATATATATATGAGAAAAGAAGAGAAGAGAAGAGAAGAAAAACAAAAGGGAGATAGAGACAAACTAAGAATTATGAATGCAACAGTACAACAGCTTGTGTGGCAAGATAAAGAAAATCAATGCAGAGAAACAGAAGACAACAACAAAAAGGGAAGAACAAGAGACCTATTTCACAAGATCCAGGAAATCAAACAAAAGTTCAAACTAAGGACCTGGATGATCTATGCCAATAAAAATAACATAATTCTTAACATAAACAGCAGGCAGATTTGGACTAGGCAAAAGGAATGAAGCAGGTGAACATCTGATAGATTTTTGTGAAGCCAACAACCTATTCATTGCAAACACATTTTTCATACAACCAGAGAAAAGATTATACACATGGATATCACCAGATGGACAACCAAAAACCAAATAGATTACATAATTGGAAGTAAAAGATAGTGAAGCTCCATACTGGTGGCCAAGACTAGACCAGGTGCCGATTGTGGAACAGATCACAAACTATTCATTTCAAAACTAAAAGTAAAACTCAAGAAGAGAACAAAACCAGTCATCATACCAAAATACTATTTAAACAACATTTCCACAGAATTCATTGACAATATAAGGAGCAAACTTGCAGTACTAAGTATAATAGATTGTGAACTGGAAGAGCTTTGGTCTGAAGCCAGTGACATAATAAAAGAAGAATGCATAAAGACACTTCCAACAGACAAAAGGAAAGTGAAGAAACCATCAATTACAGATAAAACACTACAAACAATAAAGGAAAGAAGAGAAACAAAACAAAAAGGAGATAGGAATAAATTAAGAACCATAAATGCAACAGTACAACAGCTATTGTGAAAATATAAGGAAAATTACTACAATGACAAATGTAGAGAAATAGAAGACAACAACAAAAAGGGAAGAACAAGATACCTATTCCACAAGATTAGCGAAATCAAGGGAAATCTGGAGAGTTTCCTCCAGTAGGTCATTCCAAATTTTAGGAGCAGCAACTGAAAAGGTCCTCTGGGAAGTCACCACCAGTTTAGTTTCCTTGACCGTAGTAAATTTTTCCCAGAGGACCTGAGAGTGCGGGAAGGATTATATGGGAGGAGGCGTTCCTTCAAGTAAGCTGGACCCAAACTATATAGGGCTATATAGGTAATAACCAACACCTTGTACTTTGCCCGGAAGCTAACAGGTAGCCAGTGTAAAGATTTCAAAATAGGTGTTATCCAGTTGAACCTATATTTTCCTGTGACCAGTCTGGCTGCCATGTTTTGTACCAGTTGAAGCTTCCAAACATGGCACAAGGGTTGCCCCATGTAGAGTGCACTACAGAAATCAAGATGAGAGGTTATCAATGCATGGACAAACATTTCTAGGTCCCGTGGCTCCAGGTAGGGTCACAGCTGGCATATCAG